TGAACAGATGGGCCCATGTTCCGACAGGTGTGTGAGCCACTCAATAAGGGAGGCACCTAGGGGCTCAGTCAGCTGAGTGTCCGACTCTTGGTTTCTGGTCAGGCTGTGATCCCAGGGTCCAGGTGTCAGGCTCTGCGTTGGGTGTGGAGCCTGGGGGACTCTCTGTCTCTTCCCCTCCCATCCCGCCATCTGCTCCCGTGCTCATGCTCTCGCTCTCTCTCTCTCTCAAAGAAAAAAAAAGATATTGATGATTTCTTCTTAAAAAAAAAAAAAGGCAAACCTCTGGGCACCACTGTGCCAGCAACGTACATGTTTTAGAAAAGCGAGAAGGTGATTGACATTCAGCCTGATGGGGAGGAGAAGGGGCTTCTTTCTATTCTAAATCCCTGCTCTTTGGCATGAGCGAGCGTCCGAGTCAAAGTACTAACCTGGGAACCGCCTGCAGAGCCTTGTGAGGGCCCTGTTGGGTGAGAGCACACCTGGGGTGGCTGGCCGCGGACGGGTCGCTGTATGCTCTCTGGGTCCTTTTCCTCCTTCCTGGCTGATGCGGGCGGGCAGTGCCCTCGACCTCTAGGGTGCGCGCCGTTCTGTGCTAGCCCAGACCCTGCCCACTCCAAGTGCCCGATGCACCCTGCTTCTCCTTGTCATTAGAAATCTAGGGTGATGTCAAGGAGAGGACTCTAAAGTGTCCTTGAAGTCTGAGTGCATCTTTAGGGATGGGACGGAGGAGGCTTCCCTTCTCAAGGGTCATGTGTTCATACTGGCTGCAAATGGAACGCGATTATCTGTAGTCTGTGTAGGTGGCTGTATAGCGCATCTCAGGCTCCCCATTGCCCAGAGAGCTGGTTAAGATGCACCTCCTGATTTAACGGGCTGAAAGCTGAGATTCTGCCTTTCTGTCAAGCTGTGGGCGTCCTCCCTGCTGCTGAGGACCACTCTTCAAGTAGCAAGCAAAGGAGAGAATCAGCCTGCGGGTGTATTGAGGGGAGCCTGTTGGTGGGGACGCCTGGGCCCTTTTCTGTGGCCACCGTGCGGAGGAAGGAGCCATCTCAGTGTTGTGTAAGGTGTCCCAGGGAAGATTCTGGGGCTCTCTTTATATCCCAGAGAACAATGGAAGAGAAAAGGTGGATGGCTTCTTTGTGGTGGTTTGTCCCAAACTCTGGGCGGCTGCGTGCTCTCCGCCTCGTGGGGTCGGCCTGGCACAGAGCCAACTGAACGCACTTCAGAGGAGACGGGCTCACGGGCTGGCCGGCAGCCCCAGAGCCGCGCCAGGCTGGGGAGGAAGCCACGGCTTCTGTCAACACAGAGATACAAGCCCCTGCCCCCCCCAGCACATGTGTGTGTACACAGGCCCCTCATCTCCTGCTTCGTTTCCCATCACAAAGGATTTAGGAAGAAGCTTCTCGTCTGAGCAGCTGATGGCCACTGGAAACCAAAGGTCGTCATCAGTGCTTGGCCAGCCTTGCTAGAACCATGGAGTCCCGTGGGTTTGGAAGCGAAGAATGGTGACCTGTGACCCTGGGTCTGTGACCTCGCCCAGTGGCCGTCCAGGTCTGTGACCTCTGGCAGGACCAGGCCTCCGTGCCGTTTTGGGGGATGCGATAGAGAAACAGCTCGTTTCTCACACCCCTTTCCCTTCCTTGGTATGTGAGTAGTTCTCCTCTTTGTCTAATTTTGTGATTTTTAATAAAATGAATTGCAAGTGGCATTTGCTCACTGGGCTCATGTAAATTTGGGGTTTGTGGGGACTCTTGGACCCTGCCCCGTCCCTCTGGGGTTTTCGAATGCAGGAGGCATTTTATGTTCCCTAGCGCCTGCAACCTGACGCGCGGGCGGCCCGGCAGTGTAGACATGTCAGGCTGCTAATTCTTCTCACCTGTGAAAACATAACATGTGTTATCGAGAGCAGCCCTTGGCTTGCCCTGGGGCCTCTGAAGCTGAGCCCCAGAAGCCAGGGGGGACGTCGACCCCTTAATGTGGCTTTCTCCTCGCCGGAGTTACGTTTTGTGTGTCATCCTGCGTTTGAGCCGGAGCAGCCAGGAGCCAGCTGAAGCGGCCCGGTGTGGTCTCTGCGTGGGAAAGGGCTTGCTGAGGTTTCCAAAGGCTGCGGCCTGGGCCGCAGCCCCGCTTCTACCTGGAGGTTCTGCAGCCAGCCCCCCCCCCAGGCTGAAGCTGTAGGAGTGGGGGACCCCAGCAGGCACCCGGAGGGACGGCTTCCTGGGTGCTACTGAGGGGCCGCGGGGAAGCTGGGGGCCAGCTCCTCTTACGCCCCCCGCGGAATCCAGTACTGACTGTTAAGACTCAGCTGGAAAGAGATGGTCCGGGAAGGGTGGGTCTTCCTGGCTCCATGTGGTTCTGGGCCTTGAGGGCTTGGGCTCAGGGCAGTGGGAATTAAGACAGGACATTCCTGGGGTATCTGGCTGGCTCAGTCAGTAGAGCACGCGACTCTAGCTCTCCGGGTTGTGAGTTCGAGCCCCACGTTGGGCGTGGAGCCTACTTAAACAAAAGAGACAGGCCCCACATCCCTCCCGTGGACCTGATGCGTGTCTCTGAGCCGCAGTAGTGTGGGCGTGTAGCCTCCGCTGAGGGTCCGTCTGAAGGTCCCAGACTTTTGTTGTCTGACATATAGACCTCTACTCCTTTCAGCAGGGGTGCTGGGGAGGGAGCAGTATCATTCTGCTGCCAGGGTAGGGGTGAATATCGTGGTCCCAAGGTGAAGGTGGCTCTCAGGGCAAAGTGAGGAGAGCCGGGACCAGCCTTCCACATCTCCAGAGAGGCTCTCTGGGGCCAGGCCAGCCTCTGCCAGGCTGCTTTTCCACAGACACATAACAGGTAATGCTTTCTATGCCACCGTGGGAGGGGGTGGCGTACTTTACAATGTGCCTGGCACCTTTCCAGGTGAACGACCACTCCTTTCTAGGCTGCTGGACGGAAGGGGCAGCTCACGTTCTTGTTGGGCAGTGGCTTGGAACTTTCTGCTTTCTCCTCTCTGGGCAATGGTGTAGATCTTGTTCAGAGTCTCACCTTACAGGCCCTTTTCCACATGGCTTGTGGCTGCGCATAAACTGTGCCTGATTGGTGCCGCTTCGTATTCTCAGCACCGCGCTGGAAACGACGCACAAACGCAGGGCAGAATCGGTTCTGTAACGTCTGTGGGGAGCTTGTTGCCAGGGCCCACTCCGTCCTATGTCCACGCAGCCCTAAATGTGCCTTGTCTGTCTTCTTCGCTCGTCTTGCTCTTTCCCTCCAGTGGGGAGGGGCCAGCCCATTCCCACGGCAGCTTCCGGTTCAAGATAAAGGATGTAGAGCTTCCTTCTTGCCCTTATTCATATGTGAACTATCCTATCTCTGGTTTGCCTTGGGATAGAGGATGTGGTTTAAAAAAATTTTTTTTAAATATTTATTTTTGAGAGAGAGAGACAGAGCATGAATGGGGGAGGGGCAGAGCGAGAGGTACACAGAATCTGAAGCAGGCTCCAGGCTCCGAGCTGTCAGCACAGAGCCTGACACAGGACTTGAGCTCACTAACTGTGAGGTCATGACCTGAGCTGAAGTTGTACGCTTGACTGCCTGAGCCCCCAGGTGCCCTGAGGATGTGGTTTATAATCCAACACCCCTGCTGTTTCCCCCTAAGTGCATATGTTTTGTGTGGCGGAGTGGGGAGAGGAAGAGGGGAGCACAGAAGAGAAATGGCATCTCTTAATTTCCTACTTTTTATTTTTTTACTAAAGTGTCCCACACATCCAGAAAAGTGCCCATGTCATGTATGCAATTCAATGAATTGTATGTCTGAGTATCTGAGTAGACACTACTCAGGTTGGAAGTAGCACATCGTAAGCACCCGGAAAGACCCCCTCCCTCGCTGTACCCCCCTTGCTCTTCCCCAGAGGTAACCCAGGCATGACCTCTAGCACCAGTTAAATTTTACCTGCTTCGGACTTCAGATAAACAGACTCAGACAGTGAGTACCTGTGGTCCGTCACGTCTTTTGCCCGGTGCCGTGTTTGTGAGACTCCTCTGCGGGGCCGCAGTTGCATGTTTGTTGGTTTTCGGCGCTGGGTGGAACGCCGTTGTAGTTCTGTAGCACCGTGTGCCTGTCCGTTCCAGCACTGAGGGACCTCGAGGTTTTGGCCGTTGCATTTTCAGCTTTGAGCGTTTTTGCCCGCGTCTCCGGGTGGATGCGTGTATGTGTTTCTGCTGGGTGCCTCCCTGCAGATGGAACTGCTGGCCCTCGGGAGGCCCGTGCCCGCCTTCTTAGATGCTGCTGACTGGTTCTCTAAAGTGGTTGCCACGGTCCACAGTGCCCTCGCCCCCCAGGAGTGCTCGAGGGCTCCGGTGCCTCCACATTCTGGCCGGCCCTGGGCATCTTCAGTCTTCGGGGTTTCCCCTTCCAACAGGTGTGAAGCGGCATCTCCTCGGGTTTCTCTGATAACTAACATAGTTGAGGATCTTGTCATACGTTTATTGGCCATTTGGCTCTCTTCTTTTGTCAGGTGTCTGGCCCACTGTTCTGTTGGTCTGTGTTTTTTTTTTTTTTTTTTATTGACTTGTAGGAGTTCTTCATAGATTCTGGATAGGACTTCTTTGCTTGGATGTGCTCCCAGACAGTCTTAGGCTTTCAGTGTGCCTGGGGAGGGGCCCGTGGGTGGCTCAGTTAGTTAAGCATCTGGCTCTTGATTTTGGCTCAGGTCACGATCTCGTGGTTTGTGAGATCAAGCCCTGCCTTGTGCTCCCTGGTGTCAGTGTGGAGCCTACTTGGGATTCCCTCTCCCCCTCTCCCTCCACCCCTCCCCCACTCATGCTCGTTCTCTCTCTTTCTCTCTCAAAATAAATAAATAAACATTTAAAAATAATGTGCCTGGAGAAACTCTAACAGGCTCACCCTCCCCCTTGGGCCCCCCAGAGCGTCCAGGCAGCCCACCCGTGGCTGGGTAAGATTTAACCGTGGGCCTCTTCCCTGGCACTGGGTTGTAACAATGTCCTTTCTTCTTGATGTGCAGGGTCCTTGTGGGTGCACCGAAGGCAGAGTCCAAGTACAGCACCTCAGTGAAGTCCCCTGGGGCTGTGTTTAAGTGCCGCGTCCACACCAACCCTGACCGGAGATGCACCGAACTAGACATGGCTCGAGGTGGGTGGATATCACTGCCAAGATGGAAGTGGATTCCGTGCCCTCACACTTCCTCTTTTTCTTCTCAGAGTGGCCTGATCATGCATCCCCTCTTCCTCCTTCCCTCCCTCCCTCCTTCCCTTCTATCCATCCATCCATCCATCCATCCATCCATCCATCCGTGCATCCATCCATCCATCCATGCATGCATCCATGCATGCATCCATCCATCATATGCTAGGTGCCTATTCACTGAGACATGCTGGTGAACAAAACAAAGATCTTGCCATCCTGGGCCTTACAAATTAGTGGGCAAAGAGACATTGAAATGAGTAGTTGAGTGCAAGAAGACCATCGGGAAGGTGGATAGTTGATCTACACATGATTGGAAGGACTCACGGTGGTTAGCTGGGCAGGTGTGGGAGGCAGAACCTCCGAGCAGAGGAAAGCATGTGCCATTTTAAAGCTCCGAGTGAGGACAGCGCAGCTGGGGTGGTGAGCAGGAGAGTGGAGGCAGAGGGCAGGCTGGGGCTGGCTCACACAGGGTGGCGGGCTGGTGTAGGGTGTTAGGATTTCATGCTGTGCATCAAGGGGGAGGCCATTAAAATTAATCTTAAGTTTTATATTTTAAGTAAGGGAAGATGTGATAGATGGAGGTCTTCAGAAGCTCACTTTGTGGTCCAGTGGGAAATACATGTTCCAGCACCTTGGACTCAGGCGACTCTGCCTGGGTTCAGAGCCCGGTGCTGCCAGTTACTAGTTGGGACTTACTGGGAAAGTCCCATGGCCTCTTTGACCTCAGTTTCCTTGCGTGTAAAGTCGGGACTAAGATACCTACCTTCCATGATTACCTTGAGAAGGATAAGTGAGATAACAGATGTGACACGTATATCTGTACAGAGTGAGAGCTATTTCATTATACTCCCTTCAGGTCCTCACTTTCTCCAAAGTTCTTTCCCTTTAAGAGCTTCTAATTTTTTTTTTTTTTAAGTGAAGAATTGTGATGGTATTCTTCAGCTGAAAAGGACAGGGGTCTATGGTGTTCTTTAGTGCTACTCAAAACGTCTGGTTTGCCAGCTGCTCATTACTGTTACGTAGCAGATGAAGGAACTGGCTCCAGAACATAAATCACCGCACCACTTCCCTCATCGAGGAAGTCTAGCAATGAAGATAACACTGGCTAAATCAAACAGCACGCATCATGATGGAGCTGGTTTACATTTTGTTCCAGGCTCCTTATTTCCTCACCGGCGGGTCACCAGCACTTGGACTCTAGGCCTCCCTTTGAAAAGCAGCCAGTGGAACCTCATTTCTCAGAGCAAGTCTGGCTTTTCTCTTTTTCATCCAGGGAAGAATCGGGGCATGTCGTGTGGAAAGACCTGCCGGGAAGACAGGGATGATGAGTGGATGGGGGTGAGCCTGGCCCGGCAGCCCAAGGCTGATGGCCGCGTGCTGGTAAGTGCCATGGGGAGGGTGCGGCGCTCTGAGGATGAGTGACTTGGGGCTCCCTTAGGATGGCTGGGCAGCAGGGTGACAAGGGCATGGCCTTGAGGTTGTTGGGCTCCTGCTTGAACAGATGACGAATCTCTATATTTTTCATCTGTCAGATGGTTAGTGTCTGTCCCAGGGTGCAGAGATATGGCTCTTGAAACATGATCTTGTTCATTACATAAACATTTTTGTGAGTGTGTGTTTTTCAGGCTGAGGTATAGTGAGCATAAAATGCACAGAACTTAAGACTAGTTTGGGTTTTGACAAAGGTACACACCTGTGTGATGCCTCCCCTCCATCGAGTTATAGACTGTCTCTGTCATCCCAGAAAGTTCTCTTATATTCTTTACTAGTCAGTTCCTCCCACCCCAAGGCAAAGGCTCTTATGATTAGTATTACCATGGATTTCTTTTGATTTTTCTAGAACTTCAAATAAATGGAAAGCTACCTGCATGCTTACCTGTGTAAGACTTCTTTCACAATGCTTTTGAGATTAACTTGTGTGTATCAGCTGTTTATTCTTATTTATTCTTACATAGTATTATACATTATGAAATCCATGTTATTTTTAGTGCTCTACAATTGATCTTTGAACTTGAATGGGTTGGGACTGCATGGGTCCATTTATTCGTGGATTGTTTACAGCACTCTAACTGTATTTTTTTTCTCTCTTCCATGTGATTTTCTTAATATTTTAGCTTACTTGATTGTAAGAATAGAGTATCTAGTACATATAACACAGAAAGTACGTGTTAACCCCCTTTGATGTTCTCCATAAGGCTTCAGGTCAACTATTCGTTAAGTTGTTGGGGAGTCAAAATTATATGCAGATTTTCCACTGCGTGAGAGGGTTGGTGCCCCTAACCCCCGTGTCATTCAAGGGTCAACTATATTTGGCTCCCAGGGTACATATGGCGTTCTCGGGTCCGTTAGGTGCTTGGAGGAGGGGCAAGGAAAAGTCTTTGTCCTGGAGGCCTGTTGAGGGCTACGCCATCCAGGGAGGTAGTTGCCAGCCACATGGAGTCAGTGCATTTTAAGTTGTTCTAATTAAACATCCAGTCCTCCCTACTACCCACATTCTAAGCGGTGAGTAGCAGCCTACATGTTCTGGCTACTGCGTTGGCCGCGTCCAACCCTTCCATCATACAGAATCTTCCTGGACTCCACAAAACAGGAATTTGTGGCCTCCTCAGAAGTTTTGTCCATGTTTTCCTTTTTCTTTTATTCTTTCCTGTTGAGGTACGACACTAAGTACCACACACACAACTTGACATATCCCTTCTCCTGCATCCCTGTTGCTAGGGCCGGAATGTTCCCCTGTGCCCCTCTCCACTGATATAACCGGCATTCTGACTTCATAGGCCTTTTCTGTTCACTGGCTTTTCTTGGAAGCTGTATGAAGATTTTTCCTACGAAAGCCGAAGCTCAAGGAGGGAAAGTACTACCAGCTGCCATTCATTGAAGGCTTCCTCTGGGCCATATGCTGCAAAGTTGAGGGTTTTATGTATTTTATCCTGAGGAAGACAGGTTTTCCTTAAGGATCTAGGCAAAATGCTTCCTTCCCCTCTCTGAGAAGCCCGCTTTTGTGTTAAACTTCTTCATCGGAGAGGCTATTTGCGTGGACTCGGCCTGGCTTCTCACCACAGAGTTAGCGTGCACCCTGGCCAGGCCCCTCGGGGGAGGGAAGAAGCAGCTGGATCCTGTCGCCGGCATGGAGGGGCCACCTTACTGGAACCACTGTCGGTCTGTGGAGCCCCCAGCCCCGCTGTTTGTCTCTGTGTCCGGTGTTGCAGGCTGCCCTGGACCATCTCCAAGCCTCCTGGCCCTGACTGGACAGCTCGGCCCCAGGAAGGCTGGAATGCTGTCTGCCATCCTTTAGAAAGCCAGGAAGAAGCTGATCCATCTATAAATCAGGGTGGCCTGAGGTCAAGGTTCAGAACGGAGGCTGTGGCGGTCTGGTGGAAGTACCACACACGATGCTGGGGGCGCATGGAGCCCAGAGCCACAGGCTGCTCCTGCAAAAACTTCTCCTCTTCCCCCAGAAAGAGAACCTCTGTGTGGCCGAAGTTATTTCCAGAGGGTTCTGTGTCACTGCACATCAGTCAGAGGAGGGGGCTGCCTCTGGGGACGTGAATGGCGGGGAGGGTCACGGGGATGAGTTAGCAAAGGCAGCAGAGACGGCAGAGCTGGGGCTGAGTGGTGGTGGTGCCACGACGTGATAATCTGCTGTGATGATCTGCGCCTAGCGCATGCGGAGCTGCTTTTCTCACGTCTTACACAAGCACTGCTCCATCCGTTCAGTGAGCCACCCTGTGGGTGCCGGAGAGAGAGGGCATCCGACAGCGTCCATCTTCCTCATGGCTTTTTTTTTTATTATTGTGGTCAAAGACACAACCTAAAATTTACCCTTACCCATTTTGAAACATACAGTAGTGTTACCTGTGTGCACATTGTTAGGCTTCAGATCTCTGAACTTTTTCATCTTATAAAATAGACTCTGTACCCATTGAACACTCACCCCCCCTCCCCCAGCCTCTGGCAACCACTTCTTCTGTTTCTAAGAGTTGAACTGCTTTCGAGAACTCACAGGAATGGAATCATGAGGTGCTTATCTTGTCACTGGCTTATTTTGCTTGGCATAGTGTCCTCAAGTTTTCATCTATGTTGCAGCATATGACAATATTTCTTTCTTCTAGGGCCGAATATTCCTCTGCTGTATGTATACACCATACTCTGTTTATCCACTGATAGATATTTGGTTGTTGTGAATGATGCTGCTCTGACCACAGGTGTGCGATTATCTCTTCAAGATCCCGGTTTCAGTATTTTTGTATATCTGTCCAGAAGTGGCATTGCTGAGCGCTATGGGAATTCTGCTTATAATTTTTCTGAGGCACTGCCGCAGTGTTTTCTCACAGTGGCTGCGCCATTTTACATTCTCACCGACAGTGCCCAAGAGAAGGGTTCCAATTTCTCCATGTCGTTGCCAATACATATTTTTTTCTTTAATGGCGGCCATCCTCATGGGTGCAGGATGGTATCTCATTGTGGCTTTGATTTGAATTTCCCTAATAATTCATGATACTGAGCGTCTTTTCATATGCTTCCTGGATGTTTGTACGTCGTCTTTGGAGGAATGTCCGTTTGACTCTTTGGCCCATTTTTGAGTTGGATTGTTTGTTGTTGTTGAGTTGTCCTTATGGCTTTTTGTGCGTGTGCCATCTTGCTAGGAAGGGCTGAGTCTCCTCTGTTCCCAGCACCCTCCGTGCTCCGTGGTTTAGACTCCGCTTCCTCCTTGAGGCCTGCCATTGGTGACTGTGCTTTCTGGAATAAGCTTAGTATCTTTTGTGTCGCTAGGAGCTCAGCATTATGTGATGACCTTTATGAGTATAGTTTACCTTGTGTGAGCGTCTCCTTTTTATGGAAGCCACTTTAGGAGAGGCAGCCTTTTTTACCCTTTTCACTGTCAGTGGTCAGTGCCTGGAGATGATCTCTCTAAGGAGGGGCATCTAAAAGGATGTTTGAATAATGTAAGGGCTGAGTGTCACTGTTAAAACAATTAGAAAGCAAGCCAGTTGCCATCTCTGCTTGGTGGACGAGTGGTTGACAGAAGCATGAGGCAAAATGCTGTAAATCAGCCCTAGAAATGATAGGTGACAGCAAAGTATAAGGAGCAGAGACCTCATCCATATTTACATTTTGGAGGCCTCGTATCCACTTGCTTTTTCTTTAGTGTGTCCAATCTGCCTGTCAGGGCCTTCTGCTGGTCAAGTATTTATTTATTTATTTATTTAATTTTTTAAATGTTTTTATTTATTTCTAGGAGAGAGAGAGAGAGACAGCGTGAGCAGGGGAGGGTCAGAGAGAGAGGGAGACACAGACNATTTCTAGGAGAGAGAGAGAGAGACAGCGTGAGCAGGGGAGGGTCAGAGAGAGAGGGAGACACAGACTCTGAAACAGGCTCCAGGCTCTGAGCTGGCAGTCAGCACAGAGCCCGACGCGGGGCTCGAACCCACGAACCGTGAGATCATGACCCAAGCGAAAGTCGGACGCTCAACCGACTAAGCCACCCAGGCGTCCCAACAAGTATTTATTTTAAAATTAAACACAGGAAGATGGATGTTATTCGGACATGCTCTGAGCGCTTGGGGGACGTGGGGTGTGAGCACGGCACCTGCATCCCCGAGGAGTGTAATGTTGGATCCCATGGGGGGTTTCAAAAGGGGGTGGTGGGGTGAGGTTTTCTGAAAACCACATCTGGTGCTGACTTCCAAGTCCAGAACAGATGGAGAGTTTGCAGGCTGTGATAGGGCGTCCAGCGTTTCATCGACAAATGACATTTTCTGAGCCCTGAAGCCAGCAACCGGCTTAAAACGTCTGCCAGTCTTGGCTCACAGGTGTCGTGGCGCCTTCCTATTTTCCTCCCTGAACAAATGATACCAGATGCAGACACGGCATCCAGATGAGGGGCAAGCCCCTTCCCACGCCGTCGCCCTCCGCTCCCCAGGGCACAGATGACAGCTTAAGAACTAGGGAAAACGAAATCTTTTCTGGCCATGACCACCCGGCCAACTCAGCACAGGCACCTCATGGACTCTTTTCCTGGATTTGTGGGGCGCCTCTGAATGTTCACGTCTGGTGTTTTCTTCTTGTCGTTACTCTCCAAGGCTCAGACGACAAGTAATTGAAGCGTCCAGGTAATTCCCTCTGGGCACTATGCCGCGCCCTTTCCAAATGTCAGGGAGGCCCCTGCCTGCACACGACATCTCATCTGCCCACTTGTGTCCAAGCCGCGCAGTGTACACAGTTGCATTTACTCCCGTTGCTGTGTTTCCTGGTGGCTTGGTGGTTGGCAGAGAACGTTTAATGTGCTGTGACACATGTGGAGGAGGGCACACGGGTAATTTGTGTTCACTTCGATGAATTGTCATTTGGTCAACAGTCTCGGGGGACTTTCCCAGCATCCCAGAAGCCCCTTCCCCGGGCGCAGGCCACTCCCTCCTCCCTTGGAGCCGGCCTGCCTTGACGGGTGGGGTGTTCTCTGGCCCTGGCTGTGCAGGGTGGGCCTGAGGCGTGGTAGCAGCTCTGGCCATCTGTGTAAGAGGGTGGGGTGGGGACCTACGTGTCTTTGTGGCTGAGCCATCGGGAGAGGCTCAGGGTCCTCCCCTCTCCCCCAGAAGGACGGGCTGTTTCCATACAACAAAAAAGTCCTTTGTAATGAATTGCTCATTTTCTCCTTTTTATTTTTTTTGGTGGGGGAGTGGAAAACAATTCTTATAACTTGAAAGATGTCAAATTAGAAGATTTGGGGTAATGCTAGACCCTGTCCCCCTTTCTTAGGATCATCTGGAATCTGAGCTTGATTAGTCTTGCTGTTCCTAGAGTCTGCTTTTCCCTCCCTGCTCTGCCCTGCTCTGCCCCCTTCCTCCTCATGGCAGAACTCATTTGGAGAGATTGATGGGGTTAGTAATCCTTTGGAGACAGTCCCTAGGAATTTTTTTAATGTAGGAGTCAGATTGACGTGTGTGTGTATATATAATGATTATCGGGGCTAAACAGTCTTTTCTTTCTGTAATTTATATTCAGAAACACTCTTCTCTGTTTTCCTACATGTGTACTGCCTTTGACACTTTGATCTCTGACCTCACAGTATGCCTTAATTTTAGTTTAGTTTACTGTGAAATGCAATATTTGGATTTTCTAGGAATTCTCCAAGATCACTCCTTAAACAGTTTATGGCACTTAAAAAAAAACAAAAACAAATGAGGAGACTATAAACTAGATATTAAATGCGGAATGTCCTTCCTTAGAAGAGACAGCATGCCCTATGATAAATATCTGCCTCTCTTTATGGTCTCTCCAGCCTGGAAGTACAATAAAACATGGGAAGCCCTAGAAGCCAAGGGCTCTGCCGAATCTATAAGCTAAACTGGAAGTAATTTTCAGCCAACTAGATAAGTGATTCAAGTTTGCAAGCCATCAGAACTGAGTCAGAACTAAAAATTTTAAAAATCGATGACTTGGTGGAATGGAGCGATCATGTGCTTTGTGATAGATTTGTACAAGTCCTCGAGAAATGTGCTGTCGGCACCAAACGGGATCAGGTGGGGAGGAATGAAGGTGGTTTGCAGCATAAGTGATAACAGGAGACTGTTTTATGCAGTTTAATCTCATAGGGCAAGAACCAATGTGTGGGCAGAGTCACACTTCCGGTAGTTTTGCCCTTGGGCAGTGAGTGGCCTTGTCTTCAGGGGCCCTGTGGGTGGCTGATGTGAAGGAATGAAGACCAGAGAGGCTGGCAGGCAGTGGTTTTCATTACAGGAGCATCTGAGGGGTGAGCCCCGCAAGGAGGCCCCTCTCTCCCTTGGTGACCTGTGACCGTATTTCATTCGGCCCCAGAGCGGTTATCTTAGGGGCATTGGGACCTCTGGGTGGGGCGGTAAGAACAGCAGCTACTAGATCCTCTCAGGGGGTGGGTTTCACTGCTTCTCAGCAGAATGGGACTTTTAAAAAAATTAATTTATTTTTTAATTTACATCCAAGTTAGTTAGCATATAGTGCAACAGTGATTTCGGGAGTAGATTCCTTAATGCCCCTTTCCATTCAGCCCATCCCCCCTCCCACAACCCCTCCAGGAACCCTCTGTTTGGTCTCCGTATTTAAGAGTCTCCTATGTTTTGTCACCCTTCCTGCTTTTATATTATTTTTGCTTCCCTTCTCTTATATTCATCTGTTTTGTGTCTTAGAATCCTTATATGAGTGAAGTCATATGATACTTGTCTTTCTCTGACTAATTTCGCTTAGCATAATACCATCCACGTAGCTCCATCCACGTAGTTGTAAATGGCAAGATTTCATTCTTTTTGATTGCCGAGGAATACTCCATTGTATACGTATACCACATCTTCTTTATCCATTCATCCATCGATGGATATTTGAGCTCTTTCCATACTGTGGCTATTGTCCATAGCGCTGCTATAAACATTGGGGTGCATGTGCCCCTTTGAAACAGCACACCTGTATCCCTTGGATAAATACCTAGTGGTGCAATTGCTGGGTCATACGGTAGTTCTAGTTTTAACTTTTTGAGGAACCTCCATCCTGTTTTCCAGAGAGGCTGCTTCAGTTCATATTCCCACCAACAGTGAAAAGAGTTCCTCTTTCTCCTCATCCTCACCAACATCTGTCATTGCCTGAGTTGTTCATTTTAGCCATTCTGACGGTATGAGGTGGTATCTCATTGTGGTTTTAATTTGTATTTCCCTGATAATGAGTGATGTTGAGCATTTTCTTCATGTGTTGTTTGGCCATCTGTATGTGTTCTTTGGAGAAGTGTCTATTCATGTCTTTTGCCCATTTCTTCACTGGATTGTTTTTTGGATGTTGAGTTTGATAAGCTCTATAGATTTTGGATACTAACCTTTTACCTGATATGTCATTTGCAAATATCTTCTTCCATCCTGTCAATTGCCTTTTAGTTTTGCTGATATTTCCCAAGCTGTGCAGAAGGTTTTTATTTTGATGAGGTCCCAATAGTTCATTTTTGCTTTTGTTTCCCTTGCCTCCAGAGACGTGGTGAGTAAGAAGGTGCTGTGGCGAGGGTCAAAGAGGTTCTTCCCTGCTTTCTCCTCGAGGATTTTGATGGCTTCCTGCCTTACATTTAGGTCTTTCATCCATTTTGAGTTTATTTTTGGTATGGTGTAAGGTGGTCCAGGTTCATTTTTCCGCATGTCGCTGTCCAGTTTTCCCAGCACCATTTGCTGAAGGGACTGTCTTTATTCCATTGGATACTCTTTCCTGCTTTGTTGAAGATGTGGGTCTGCTTCTGGGTTCTCTATTCTGTTTCATTGATCTGAGTGTCTGTTCTTGTGCCAGTAGCATACTGTCCTGATGATGCCAGCTTTGTAATACAGCCTGAAGTCTGGGGTGGTGATGCTGTCTTGGTTTGCGTTTTCAGGATTGTTTTGGCTATTTGGGGTCTTTTCTGGTTCCATTCGAATTTTAGGATTGATTGTTGTAGCTCTGTGAAGGATGCCGGTGTTATTTTGGTAGGGATTTTGCAGGAACAGGAACTTTTAAATGGAAAACGGGAAATGTTTCCTAGTGAGACCAGGAGGACCCTGCCGCCGTGGGGTCTGGTCTCGTTGGCAGCACTTCTAGCTCTGAGACTTAAAGGAGCCACTCTGACACTTGGGGTTCCCACATTGAAAACAGGAATTCCAAAGATGCCTCTGGCCTCCCTCTAGCATTGCAGAAGAAGTCAAATGTGGGCCCTATAGATGCTGAATGTTGAGACCTGTTGAGTGTTTGAAGGAAAGAAACCAAGAAATTAAAGGCTCTGATGATTCTGGGGCACCAGAATATTTGGTGGCTCAGTCAGTTGACCGTTTGACTCTTGATCTTGGCTCAGGTCATAATCTCATGGTTCATGAGATCGAGCCCCACATTGGGCTCCTGACTGGTAGTTCAGAGCCTCCTTGGGGTCCTTTCTTTCTCTGCTCCTACCCACTCTCTCTCACTCTCAAAATAAATAAACTTTAGACCCAACAAACAAAAACTCTGATTTTTGAAAATGCATTATTTTAAGAAAATATATTTGTAGACCAGAGTGACCTGGGAGCGGAAGTGAGTGGTGTGTGTCCATGAGAAACAGAGTGGGCAGAGTGTATGCCTTCGGGGGAAGTGGGTCGGCCCCTAATCAAATTTGTGGATCTTGAGGATGTGTGAGGTCACGTGCATGCACACACACACACACACACACACACACACGTAACTGGAGTGGGCAGTGATGTCCGAGTGTGAGGCTGGGGGAGTTCTGTGGTGGGTGGGGTGGGGCAGGATGCGCCCCTCCCGAATTCCAGTCTAGCATGTGTCCAACCCCAGCACTGAGAGGCTGCTCAGAGAGCAGACCAGGGGTTCTGTCTGTCCCTAAGGAGCTCCCTGCTCATACAAGCCAAGCTCTCCCCTGCCTCGGGGCCCTCTGCCCTCAACCTGAGGGCCTCAGGGTGGCTGTTGGCCGTTATCTTAGTCTTCACTTGGTTTCCTTTTCCTGCTCTCCCGCTGCTCGTTCCCCAGGGCGCATCCCTGAAGTCCTGAAGCCGTCCCCTCCTCTCCTCTCCACTGCCCCCGCCCCCCACCCCCGGGGCCAGGCCAGCATCCATCCTCGCCTGGACGTTCACTTCCACTCTTGCCCACCTGTGGTTTCCACACTGCGGCCGTTCTCTCTCTAAACTGTAAACCAGAGCATGCCACTCACCTGTGTAGACTCCGTCCGCTTCCCTTGCACGTCCACTAAGGTCTGTAAGACCCCGTGGGCTGGCTATCCCCTCTCTGACCTCTTCCCTTCCACCACAGTCCAGCCCAGCCCACCTTCCTTTCCCTCGAGCCTTTAAGCTTTTCTCAGGGGCTTCCTCTGCACCCGATGACCCCTCTCTGAGAACACTCTTTCCTGCACACTCAGCGTGGCTGGCTCGCTCTCCTGTCTCCCTGACCTCCATCCTTCCTACCTTCGGAGTCTGTGTCCCGTAACCCCGGGTCTTTCCTTCCCAGTGTTCAGCACTAGGTACAACCCTTGTTAGTTTACATGTTTGTTTCCTGTCGCTTCCTAGGAGCCTCCTGGGGCTCGCTCCTGTAGGTTGCTAGTGCCCCAAACAGTGCCTGGTGCACAGCTGTGGCGGGGCGGGTGGGAGGGTGGCTTTCTGGCTCCTCTGCCCCTCTCCTCCCGCACAGCCACCTGGCGTCGCCTGGGCTCTGCTTTGAGACCTGCTGGGGCTGACTTCCTGCTCTGACCCCTCTCTGTCCCTTAGGCCTGTGCCCACCGCTGGAAGAACATCTACTATGAAACAGACCACATCCTGCCCCACGGCTTCTGTTACATCATCCCGTCCAACCTCCAGGCCAAAGGCAGGACGCTGATCCCCTGCTATGAAGGTGAGCACTGCTGACTCTCCCTTCGCCCAGCCCCACCCCACCCCTGCACCACCCCCATCCTCTCCGTTTCCCTCAGCTTTCCAAACTCTGACCAGAGGGCAGCACTGGTCCCTGGTTGGCCTCCTGGCACCCACGGCCCTGCCAGGGAAGGGGGTGACCAGGGGGCCATGGCTCCGGGCCCCGCCCCGCCCTGCCCCAGGCTCCGCGGTGCTTACGGAGCTATGTGAAGCCTCAGACCAAAATTCGCTGGGCCTCAGCCAAGCCATCAGGCAGAAGTTGGTTTTTGGGCCCTGCCACATGCTGTGCAGCCTTGGGAAGCGTACTTTCTCTCTCTGGACCTCGATGTCCTCGCCCGACAATTCCGAGGTTGGTCCAGATAGTCCCCATAGTCCTGGCTCCAAGATGGTGCCAAGGCTCCCGAGACAGCTCCACGGACAAATGTCCTGAGGCAGGGGCAGGAGGAGACACAGGGTTCAGTTGTTCCGTAACATCGCGTGGCTGACTTTCCCTCCCATCTGCTCTGTGCACCCTCATGGCAGTTTTAAGGCCTTGCCAAGGGGCACTTAGGGTCCTGGAGGGAAATGTATTTTCTCAGCCTCCCTGCTTAAAACCCCCAAACACCTGGGCACTGGGACCATGAGCTGATCACTGTCATCATTTTTATTAAAAAAATGCTTTTGAGCCGATCAAAGTGATGTTATTTAGCTCAGTTGAACTTGAGCTTTAAGGATTCAGGAAACGCTCTCCTTTTCATCAGTTTCATAGCTTGATACTAAGGTTTTCATTGCTTAATTCCAAGTGAGATAGAACTCATTGCCTCTTTAAGTGCTGTGCTGGTTATATTTTAATTATCTCCCTAATTTATTTGTTTGGATTGAAGTCTCCACCAGCCTGTGTCTACATTTCCTCTGGGTCTCCCTGGGGTTTCCCAGGTTTCAAATTTGTGTCCACCAAAAGTGGTTGTGAAAAATGCTGTCTGGACACATTCACTTTTCCGCCTCATGGAGGACCCTCCAGGGCCCTGAAGGGGACGCGAGTGTCCCGAGCAGGTGTCCCATGCAGTGGCCCCACAGGGTCACTCCCGCTCCCACAGCAGGAGACACGACCCATCCTTCCGTGAGGGTGAGCCTTGTTCTCTTCCTCTGTGTCAGCATTTGGTCAGCTGTCGCCGGGACACGTGGGGAGCTTGAACTCTGGCCCTGTTTGTCTCTGCATTGCCCCCGTCAAAGAAAAACTTCATCTGAAAAATAGGTGTAGTCAGTCAAGAGGCAGGGTAGATCGCTACGTACACAAACAAGGGACTGTGGTGGTGCTCGGCTGCCCCAGGCCACCTCTCACCTCTCTCCCCAGCAAAAAAGGCAGAGGCCCTGGAACAGCTTTTTGGGTAGCTGGTTGGCCCCGGGAGAGGTGAGGCCGTCCCTCCGGGCGCTGGAGGCAGTGATGATGGACTCCAAAGTAGCGATGCGATGGGACCAGCATGTGGCTTTTCCCAGAAGACATGAAACAGGGACACATTGCCGTCTCCAGCGTGTCCTCTACATTCCTCCATAAGCCTCGCGATGCAAAAGGACAGACCTCTGAGGTGGTCGCTGGAGCCCGGTGTCATGTGCATCGCCAGCCACCATGGCTCACGCCTCCAACGTGTCTGTCATGTGTGAGATCGGCACCAGGCCAGCCCTGGTTTGGGGCTTTACACATTCTCTCTCTTCATCTTTACACTCCCATAGAAAATAGCTATTCTTCTTCACTTGGGAGCTTTCTAGAGGTCATTCTAGAAGACACGGGGGCTGGGGGGTGGTGTGGGAAGTGAGAAAGGGAAGAGATGGCAGCCTACAGGCTTCCATCAGGGGCAAGTCTCTGGGGAGCTCTGGGGCCGGCGTGGAACACACCTTGGATTACCCACCTGGGGAGCGTGGGGGCTGGAGTCGGTCCACCATCTGTCCTGCTGTGCGTGGGGGCAGGGGAAGGCCCCTGGCAGAGAGATGCAGGTGCTGGCGGCCAGGCTGCATCACGGAAATGGTGAGGGCCCGGGGGAAATGGGGGGGGCAAAGGTGGGCTTCGGTGTTGCCGTTCTCCGGTTACAGATGAGGAAGCTGAGATCCGTTTAAGTGAGTTGTGAAGGTCGCTCGTGCAGTAAAGGGTAGGGCTGGGATTTGACTTTGTCATCACCTCAGCAAGTCGTTCTGTGCCCTCTTGGTTAGTGGTGATCTCTGTGTGTGTTTTGACATTTCCAGTTTAAATGAGAATTTAATAAGAGCCAGTCGGCAACCCTCACAGAACAAGGGTGATCGGACTCTCCAAATGTACACATTTTGGGTCGGTGCTCTCAGATGCAGGCCCTGCTTGCCTTCCCCGTTGCTGGCGGCTCTGGCATGGCGCTCGGCAGGCAGCTGGAAACAGAAGGCCGCAGCAGGGCCAGGCGGCAGGTTGGGGAAAGTCTGTGCCGCACGTGTCCCTCATTCACAAGCGTGTGTGGGCTCGGAGCCTAGGCCTTCAGACATGCTGTGTGTTTCTTCCCCTTCTGGGTGCTTGGGATCCTCACCATAGAACGTGGCCCCATGGCTCACTGTTCCCAGAGCTACGTGTGGAACAGACTTGAACGGAACCTGCAGCCAGACCCCAGCTGATCTGTACGAGTGGGAGTGAGAAACGAATGCCTGCTATTTGTCACGGAGACTTTGTGGTTATTATGCAGTTGAAGCTGACATGGGCTTGTGTCATGATCCCAGACTCCTCACACAACAGTGGGTGTGGGATAGCCCAGGCTTCCAGGATTACTCTTTCACTGTTCCTTGACTTAATGACGGCCAAGTGGAGGCAGCCAAAAAATTAGCAAAATGGTGGTCCCTCCTCCCCCCTCCCTAATCCTCCTTTCCCACCGACACACACACGTCCGTGTCTTAACTTGTTCATGGGGTTGGGGGGTTGGGGTAGAAGAGCAGCCCTGGAACAGTCGCTCTGTTGACTTTGGGGACGTCCACCTCCAGTTTTGTGGACTCTTGGTCTTAAAGCAACCAGATTTCCTCTTAATGTGGAAAAACTCAGTGACTCAAGCTCTCTGTTCCAAGCGGGTATCACATTACCGCTAAGTACCGTACAACGGAAATAGTTCACAATTTGACAGGACCTTTTGGATATGATCTCGGCCAGCCTATCTTTGTTGAGGTCTAGAGATGTGGTGTGCCTTGCTCAAGGCCAAGTTTTTCTTTCCATTCTGTTATTCATGTGTCGTGCAACGGAGAGGTAAGGTAGCACAGGGGCTAAGAGCACGACTCTGGACCTAGACGGCCAGAGTTCAAGTCCGGGCACTTGTTAATGTGCTAAGCTGTGCCTAAGCTAAGGGGTCTGTGAAGAGGAGGAAGTGAGTTCAGATGAAGTGAGTTCAAACTTGTAAGTTCTTAGAATAATGCCCAGCACGTGTGTGTGTGTGTGTGTGTGTACACGTGCGTGCGTACTAAGCATATGTATGCTTGTAGTCCGTATTCTGTGCTAATGTACTATATGCTAGGCAAGTGTTTGTTAATCACTATGGGGATGACTGCTGTGTCTACTAGGAATAGAGTCCACATCATCTGAGGTGCCTTTTGACCCAAGTGACACAGTCCCGGCTGTCAAGAAGTTCCCAATCTATAGGGAAAAACCATGGAAACATGATGTTTCACAAGCGGGAGAGCTGTGTGGGGAGAGAATTTCATGCCAGTGTATACACCGCAGGGCGCCCTCCCCAAGGACCCAAATGCACCCCGGGTCTAAGTGGCACTAAGACAGCTTATTTCATTTTGCAGCTGGAGGAATGGACCCCACATAGAGCCTGTGGCCAACTGGGGCTCATGGACGAAAGGAACATGGTGGAATCCATGTTGGTCATGGTGGCGGGTGCTGCAGGGGAGGAAGGGACCCAGCTGCTGCTGAGTGTGCATTTTGTGGAAGAGCTGCAGGGCCACTGAGGGGCGTGGGCGGCTGGGTCGGGCTGCCCTGCTGCGCCTCTGTGGCCTCACGCCTGTGGCTGGGCCCTCCGTGGGCATACATGCTATAATGCCTCCATTACGTGACTTCTGAAGGTTATTGTGAGGGGCTCGTGAGAAACTTCAGAAATGCTTAGAAGGGCCACACACTGTTCTCTCATTGTGGCCTTCCTGTGGGTCTCTCTGAGGGTCACCTGTGCTCTCTTCAGAACGTTGCAAGGTTGGTTTAATAGAAGAAAGCCTCGACGCATGTGGGCCCCTGTCCAAACTGTCTCAAACTTTTGAATTCTTAAAAAATTGATCTTTGGCACAAGGGCATTTTTCTCATGACTTTTCAGGTGCTTCCTGTTTCTGGTTGGGTGGGAAATGCTATCAGAATATCCTGTTTGGAACCAGGAAATGTAGAGGGAATGGGAAACAAAAGTGAATTTAGGACCCATAGTAAAATAAGCCAGTGCACGTACCATGCAGTCAGCCGCTTCGTTTCCACGTGCTGCCGGAACAGCCATTGCTCCCACGTGGCGTTTGGTCTCATCGGAATGTGCGGGAAAGTGAGGGGCTCGGTGCGACCATGAGGGGGGCTCAGTGCGACCATGAGGGGGGCGCTATTTGTAAACTGAAGAGCAAGTGCTGTAAACCTGGTGCTGTTAGCCGAGCCCGACTTGAGGGCTCCCGAAAGTTAGGTCAGTGCATTGCTCATACCAGGCAGAGATCTTTCGTCCCTTGCCCTTGAGCCCACTGAGGAAGGCAGCCAGACCTCGGCAGGAGCGGGGCGCGCTGTAAACTAGCCATCTTCTTACTGTGACCGAAAAGCCTCACTAATATGGAAAAACCGGGGAGCCGCTCTGCTAAGTTGACAAAACGTAGTCCAGGTAAAACACTGGTCACGAAGTGCAGTCAGAGCAACGCTGAATACGAGACCCAGCTTCAGAATCTGGATTCACCGCTCACTTGTTCCTGTGGTTGAACCCGGAGCTCCTACTTTGTCTGGGTGACTTTGGGTCGGCCCTTTGAGCCTCAGGGCCCTCATCTGTA